ACGCATCACTGACCATCAGTGTCAAACAATAGAATTACAGATTTTTAATGTTTTATTTGTCTCTGCCTTCTTTGTTCCTAAGATCATCCCTCTCCGCCAATAATCTCTGTTAAAAAAAAATAAAATAAAGCACAGCATATAGATCCAGCAGGGGGTGTGTAAGTGATGAAGATTAGGAGTCTGCACAGATGGCTTTCATATGCTGCTTTATGGAGATGGGGGCGGGGCCTTAGTTGCCATGGGAGATGGTACCTCAGACACAGACCGCTGGCTCATGAATAAGAAGCAGTGAGAAGTAACATGCTTTTCATTCAGAGTGTGAATGAACTGGAGCTGGTTTGATTACATGATTTTGGCCCCAGGCCACAGGGAGACCCCTCTCTTCATTTTTTAATCCTATCAGCATCAATGTCATTCCCAGCTTGTGCTCATACAAACTCCTGCTTGACACCTAACACAAAACCCCCCACCCTGAAACCTGCCAGCACCCCATCAGCACATCAGATCCTCCCTCTTATCTTCAGTTTTTCCTACAGTCCTCTCACATCCTCCTCATGGTCAGAAAATATATGATGAAAGTCTGAAGCAAATTTAAAAGGAACACGGAGAAATAAATTGTCTAAACCTTCAAAATAATCCATTTCAAATTATTTTTTACATCCTTGGCTCAAGATGGAATAAATCGCTGCGAGATGGAAGGATTACTATGAAAACATGGAAAGACATTCATAGCTAAGAGCAGGGCTCAACGTTTGAGGCCCGCCGCTGTTTCTGTGTGAGTTCATGTGTTCGTCTGTTATAATATCTCACGAACCACTGAATGGATTTTAATAATCCTGCAGAAGGATTTACATCAACAACTCTTTGTAGTCCACCTTCTGGTTCAAGATGCCTGCTACAGTCAGCTGACCTTAGCTGACACTAGAATGGCTGTAGCTTTGGTGGTAGTAACTGAGACCAATCCCCAGCACATACTGTGAGCGCTAACAGATCGTGCTAATCCAATTCAAGATGGCCACCACATCCCACTGGCTTTAGAAAACACAGTTTTAAAGATATAGAGATACTGAGCCAAACTTTGATCAAGTAGCTGAGGGTCATTCCCAACACATACTTCAATTGTGACATTTTGGGATATTACAAGAGCTTGCACATTATCTTCAACATTTGATAAAAATGGCTACAACGCCATCATTTCTTAACATAACTTTTATCTTTTATAAAAAGTGAACTAATCAATTTTAGTCCATCTGCTTTGAAGTTGTCTTTTTTTCCCATGTACTTTCCATCTTTGTGTCTTTGAGACATCTCGACACTTGTACTCAGCCCTGCTGCCTGTTGCTCACATCAGAATGATGGACCAGTCAAACTTCTTACAGGTGCACATGGCAACCCACCCCTCTCGGTTGTTTTGGTTTTCCAAAGACTGGCAAAAGGCAGACTTCTGTAACTCTCAGAAAATGCTCAAAATACATACATAAGTAACTCTGATTCACATGTTTTCAAATGTAAATAAGTAGTGTTTTCTATGCACCATGTATGAGAGTGGACTGCAGTTTTGAGTTTCTGTATTGTCACATAAGGAAATTTGACAATAAAGCTTGACTTTAAACATGAGATTCTGACACACTGGTTTGGGATTCTGGCAAATTTCTGGGGGTCAAATATTTTTTTTTAAAAGGCCCTATCCAGTCCGTGGGCCGCTTGTTCAAAAAGTCTGGCTCCGAGGATGAATGTTAGTCCCTGCAGGGATTAAACAGGATTGTGTGCCACTGGACTGAACTTTTTGTTATGCACCTTTATGAGGCTTACATTCTTAAGGGCACTTGCCTTGGCAGGGCGCTCATCTCTGTGATTTTTGTCGATGAGGGAAGTGGGGAGCAGACGAAGACACAGATATATCTGTGCTGCTCGCTGTTTGTGCCAACAGTTGTCGACGGAGTGTGTGTGTGTGTGTGTGTGTGTGTGTGTGTGTGGGGGGGGGGGGGGGGGGTGGGGGGGGTTGAAGGAAATGGCTCAGTGCTACCTCTAGCTTTTTAGCTACCGCGTCTGTTATGGGCGCCGCTAGCTTAGTGTTACAGCAGTGCTGTCAGTTGTCAGAGAGGGGCAGTTCAGTAGGCAGGGCGCTTAGTTCTGTTGACAGGGCGGGGCGCCCTCCTTGGATAATGGTAGGGGAAACATTGATGCAAGGCAATTAATGTTTAAAGTTAATTTTGTTTGTGAACAATTTATATATTCTTTTAGTCTAGAGGTGGAGGAGAAAATGTAATTTATACATGTCACATTATGAAAATGGAAGTTTCTGAATTAACTTTAAAATGTCAGAAATTAATTTAGTTAACTAATATAAAACCTCAAAGTGTGGGGATCTCAGACAGTCCATGGCACTGTCACAGACACATGCACATGATGGCTGAATCAGAACCAACATGGAAATAAATTAATTAGCGGTATAAAAACACTTTGCTTTAAAACTACCAGGCAGTATCAAGCAGAAGCAGGAGGGTGGAAGCGGTGGTGCATCAAGATATTCAAAATGCATCAATCATTGTTTTATTGTCGCAGCCCTTTGAATTGTAAATAATGTGAACTATGAAGTGCTTTAAAATTCCCATCCCTCAACAGAACTATCAGCATTTAGAAGCTGCTGCACTTTTCAAAAAGTACAGTCCTCGCATAAAATTTCAGCGGCTCCAAAATTGCATTTAACCATTTTTTGTTTTCATAGACAAAATGTTTTTAGTGGGTGGGCAGTCGGAGCTGCACTTGTTTCACCAGTCACACTGTTCTAACAGCGTCTGATCGTGGTCTGATGTGGTCTGATGTGGTCTGATGTGGTCTTGACAAGTCTTCTGGTGAACTGTGCAGTGATAACAAGCATGATTAATCCTCTCTTTGAAGACTACAGCATAAGTGGTGTAAAAAAATAAATTTTATCTTTTTAAACCAAAGAAGCACAACTTCAGATACCTTTCCAAAAATCATTGTAATTTTACACTAATGTGCTATAGAAATAAACTGATGACTAATAAATGTTATTTAAGTTGTAATTACGGAGATTGGCCTTGGATTCAAAATAAATATAGGTGTATTACTGTATATATGTATGTATGTGTGTTAATTATCTCTGAACTGGGCTGCTTATGAGAGCTGTTTGAGTGCAAGAACAGCAGCTCTGAGGTCCAGGATGTCAAAAAGAAGAGAATACCTGGAGGGCTGAACATATGGTGCTTTCTGCATATGCAAGTCAGCATCAAATACACAAGCCCTGAAGTCATCTGCCTACGCATACTAACACAGACAAACAAGAAGTGCAACGTTTATCGGATCCATAGTGTCTGAGAACATCACGTTCTTAGCTTGTGGCCGACCATTTTAACAACAGATTATTAAAAGCTTATTCACAGTCTGTTTACAACCACTTCGGTTGCATGAAGTTACAAAAGAAGCAATTTCAGAACAAGTTTGTTATCTTGACTAACTTTTCTTCCCTGGCGGTGGACGCCCTGAAGGATTCTGGTCAACAGGAAGTTATGAGCCTGAGCCTTGATCCTACCGAGGTTCTGTTTAAATATGATCTTAATTTTGAGAACAAAACTCCATCGGTGGTGCATGACAGGGCAAAAAGCTTTTACATTTAGTTGTTGCAAACCGATAAATAGGGTGGTTTATTTTATGCAAAAAAAAAAAAAAAAGATAACTACACAAATAGAGCAGGAGACGTCTGTGTGACTGAGGTCGACAAACAAAAGAAAAAAAAAAAGACTACAGGGAAGAAACCAGTTCAAAAGGTTTTTTTATTTTTTATTTTTAAAGAGTGAAAGATGGGCGTCTCTTCCTTCCAAAATTGCTCACTTTTAGATAATTTTATTTCCATTAATTTCACATTTCCTCTCCTATTCCTTAATGTCTAACTAAAACTGCAGCTGTCAGTACAAATTAAATTGTGTCTCTTGTGTGTTTTCCTGCATAATGTGCATCGATGACGCATTACATTAATTTTTTTAGTTATTTGTTGTTCCTTTTTTGTGAGGCTTACCCATGCTCCTGCTGCCTTTCGTAGTGATGGGTTGGTATTTTACAGAATATCCATAAGCTTCAGCTACACAGCTGTTATTCCTTCCATACAAAACATCACAACAAGCAAAATGTGTACATTGCACTAACAGTAAGACTGCAAAATAAATAGTGTATAAAATAAACCTAAAAAAATGCGTGCGCAATCAGGGCAACAGTGGACACAATCGATCCAGTTAGTGTAGCATAGCATGAGTTGAGTAATATTACTGGTGCCTGCAGCTCATATTTTGTTTTTAAGATGTGTATGTGGGGTATATAAGAGGTTTTAGAGTTTCAGCTTTCATGTCACAACATTTACGAACCTGTTCAAAAGGTTTATGGCAGCTCTGCATTACTGAAGATTGCATGATGTTGGCTAAAGTGTCTGATATTTAAAGGGTTGAGTCCCCCCCCCCCCCCCCCACACACACACACACACTTATAGGTTTCTCAATAAGCCACAGAAAAGCAAAAAAGTGTAACAAGATTATAGCAGAAAACAACAAATTAACAGTTTTACCAGGTTTAAGTATTAACAGTTAGGTTGGTAAACACCAACTCTTATTTGAGAAGGTTTAAGAACAGGGCTATTCAACTGGCGGCCCGAGGGCCAAATCAGGCTCACAAGTGAGCTCAGGTCGACCCACCAATGGGTTCATTTTTAAATAAAACTAGATTTTAAACCATAAAACTAAATGACAATAATTGCTGGATGTCCAGCCCCTGAGCTCTTGGCTTTCAGTAACAGTGCCCCCTGAGCAATTTAGTTGAATAGTCCTGTTTTAGGAGCTCAGATGTAAAACAAATCTGTAACAAATGCTGAACTCAGACAACAGCAGCAGCAGAACTTCTAAAGACGGAAAGATGTTTTACACAATCCCATTTCAATGAGCCTGCTGCAGCTCCTTGAAGGTAGATACGTGGGTTTAAAGAGTACTTACACTGTGGCTGTCCTGTCCTCCAGGCTCAATCATGTAGGTGTGATTGCCATCAAAAAACATCCCACTGTGAAAAGAAAGAAGTGGGAAGAGAGACAGGTCATTTGAACTTTCTGCTGTTTTATTCATCAAAATTCAGCCTTTCAGCTATCAATCTAATACCTTGTTTTAGTGCTTGTTCAAGACATTCCATGTGCATTTGGATCATTTTGAAAAATAATAGCTAACATTTACTAAAAGAGCAGTATTGGATAGATGCTTTTCTCTGTCTTTGTTGATAATTTTGACATGAGTCATGTTCAGAAATATTCAGAAACTGGCACTAATTTTAAGAGTTCAACTGTTAAAATAAATGTATGTATTACAGGTATCATTCAGGGTGCTCAGATTCAGATCGGCTCAAAAATTACTGCTCTTGAAAGTGTTAAACTCTGGAAATTTCTAGGAAAAAAAAGTGAATTCTTAGACGGCAAAGAACAAAAACGAAAAACAATACGAGATTATGGAGAATGTTAAAATGCCTAATGAAGAGTTTAGTCCTTTGTGAGAAGATGAAGAAAGTGCACACAGGTGAGATCAGTAACATGAACCTGAACATCCAAGCTGTTGTTGATGATTGTTGAGATCTATCCTATAATATAAAATATCACTTTACAGTCTTCAGCTAAGTGAAGATCACTCTGCAGGAAGTTGACGTCTCGTTTTACCTCATTCTACTATAAATAGAAGATTTCACAAACAGGAACAGTTTGAGTACACAAAAAGAGTTCAAAACATGGTGTGAATTATTTAGGTCCCTCAAGAAAAGAGTCTAGATTAAGCAACGTCTCAAAAAGCCGGATCTGTTCGCAACAACAGTCATTCAACAGTTGAAGCTAAAAAGCAGCTTTACCAGAGCGACATCTAGGAGAGGGCATGACCTGAAGGGTAAAACATTATGAGCATGCATGGTGCAGTGATGAGGTACAACAGGACAGAAGTCAGATTCAGATAGTGACAGTTAAGTTGTTGGATGGACTTCTGCACTAATAACTGCACAAAAGCCTCGAAACATCTATCATCAAGTTCAAGTCGAGTCATTCGCATCACATGCAGTACATGAGGTGGAACGAAATTATTACTCAGGGTCCCAGTTACACCCAAAAATAGCAAAAATATAAAAGTGTAAAAGAAACAGTAAATAAGGATATACGATAAACATGAACATGAGTCTGTGGTGAGCAGATGGGTATGAATGAATACAGCATGAGATCAGCAGCATGAATAATCAGCAGCACAGATAAGTCACATATCACCAATTAAAGTGGCATTACAGTGATTTGTTTTTCTCACAGTGATTATCCTGGGTAGGGATTTATGAGTCTAAGAGCTTCAGGGTAGAAGCTGTTCCTCATTCTAATGGTTCTACACTTAATGCTCCACAACCTCCTGCCTGAGGGGAGTGGGGCAAAAAGTGTGTGTGCTGGGTGAGTGGGGTCCTTCATGATGCAGGTGGCCCTCTTCCTGCATCTGGAGGTGTAGATGTCAGTGATGGTGGGGAGGCTGACTCCAGCAGACTTCTGTGCATCATGTTTGCTTTCAAACTGCTAGTCTATCTTTAATATTACCAAAGGCGCCTGTATGTTCCTTTAGGCTGTATTCGGCAGCTGTGGCCAAGTGGTTGGAGTGGTCGTCTTCCAATGGGAGAGTTGGGGGTTTGATTCCAGCAGCAGTCACATGCTGAAGTGTCCCCGGGCAAGACACTGAACCCCTTATTGCCTCTGATGTGTCCCAATGGTGTATGGGACACTAATTTTAGCCAATCTTGTCACTCCTAAGGAGAACCTCAACATCTTCATTTAAAAACGTGTTTGTTCAATCCAACAATTTTCAGTCAGGTCATCTGAACAGTATCTTTTTTTGCTGAAACGTTGTTTGTTCAATCTTCACCTCTTTGTGCACCTGTGCTCCAGCTCAGATGGATAATCTAGTAATATTATCTGTCCTTTGTTTATTCTGGGGGATTAAATGTGAACTGGAACATCGAATATCTCTAAATAGATTTCACTTTGTAGAAAATTGCTGATAAAACACAGATTTATAGTATGGAAACTCATAAGTGCACCACCACAAAACAGACAAAAGACATACAGCTCTAAGCACACTGCCATCAGAAATAATCTGCAGTTTCACATTTTACAAAGTCAGCGATCAGTGGGCGTTCAGGCTGATGTTCGAAGGTCCTCTTGTGTCTCTGCTGCCTGTTTGTGCGGATTTCATCCATTTATTAACTTTATCTGAAGCTTTTAGGAGATTGGGCGGGTCAAACTGTAAAGTCAGGCGGGTAAACACCGCAGGGACACTCAATCCATCTCAGTCCTTAAACTCACATTCAGTTTGACTTTGTTTTGTTTTCAGCCCTTTGGGCCTTCAGTTCAGAGGTGTCACCTTCAACACTCACACCTTGTCCTGGTCCGACAACACACACACACACACACACACACACACACACACACAACAGATTAAACTCCTTCACGGGGATAGAAAACACAGATTTACTGCTGCGTTTTCTGCTGTACAAGTACAGAGCAGGAGGTTAAATGTAGTACTTGTGTTTTAACTCTTTATTCAGCACAGAGGGGGAGTGGTGGCGCAGAGGTTAGAGAAGGTGGGCCTGTGATCGGAAGATCGCCGGTTCAAGCCCCGGTACCGACAACATCAAAATTGTGGGTAGGGTAGGTGAAACACCCACACCTGCTCCCACCCTCATTCGCCCCACTCTGGGCCCATGAGCAAGGCCCTTAACCCCCATCTGCTCCCTAAACAGGTCTCTCTTGAAAATGAATTCTCGTGGCTCCATGAGACTACATGGATAAATAAAGGTAAATGAAAAAAATAATAATCTCAAACTTGTGTAGACTTGATATTATTCAAAGTTTAATAATGTAAATAAAAATAAAACATTACAGTTGTTGCACTGATTTCTGAACTTAGGCAGCCAAAACATATATGAAGGTGAAATACAACTTTCGTTAATCAATTTGTAAAGTATTTCTGGTTATATTTGATACATTTTTGCAGGTTAGAGGTGAGTTTAGGGAGATAGGCTAACATCAAAGGCTGATTAGACTCAAATGTCAAAGTTTTAAACTAAAATCTTGTGTGATCCGTTAGAACCTGCAGTATGTGTTGGAAGTGACTCTCAGCTAATACCACACCAAACTGTAGCTCATTATCTGTAAATCATCCAGTAGCCCCCAAGATATTTTGCTAACAGGCAAACAAACAATTACATGATCGCCGCCTGCCATTAAAGGTGGAAAACTGTCCCAGTTCTTTTGGATCCAGAATGCAGACACAAGGAGCTTGAAAAATAAACCACATTTTTATTAAAACAAAACAAAAAGCTGACATAAACTCTGCAGAAAATGTCAAAGACAATTACAATAATGCAGTAATAACTACTAATGCATTGCTCACAAAACAGACAGAGCAAAGAGACCAGGTGAGGAAGTGGAGACACCTGAGCAGAACGCTGGCTGGAACAGGTGAGAGTGGGCGTGGCAGATCAACTGAATGAAGCCGAGAACGGCTGACGAGGAGTAAAAACAGCCTAAAGGAAAACTCAAGTGACAAAACTAAACACAAGAACTGAAACAAACTAACACAAAACAGACCCTGCCAGGAAATAATGATCCTTTTCTCCACTTTGATTTAAGATTTATTTTATTTAGATAAAAGTTTTAATGAAACATAAGCTGTAGCATTTTTATATTAAAAATGTATACATTGT